AGCGTGACCATCTCTCCTGGGAGGTGATTTCTTGCTTTCTCTCTCTCTGTCTCTCTCTGTCTGTCTGGCGAGCACATATGCCCTATAGCAAAAAATCCTCCCCCCCCAAAAAAAAAAGAATTAATGTTGGTTCATTAAACAACACAGACAACTTTACCTCAGGAGTTTGGGGAATATTGGAGGAGAAAAAGAGTGATGGCCATGGGACCAGCTATACTACCAGGTGGTATAGTGGTTAAGGTGCTGGACTCCCACGTGGCTGACTGTGGTATGAGTCCTGGACCCAGCGGCTTGAAACTCGTGCCAGACATGTGTGTGTGTGCGTGCCCAAAATCCTGAGAGGAGAATGGAGAAGGGACTGTGGCGTGGCCATCCCCAATGAGGGATGATTTCTCACTTTCTGTCTCTCTGGTGAGTGCACATGCCCCATAGCAAAAATCTTTCAAAAAAAATAGTGATGACCATATTGTACTTGGATTAGTAAAATCTAAATGAACCTTGCATTCCAAGCAGTTTAGAAAGATACCTTGGCTCTTTAGTTTCAGTTTGGGAATTTTCCATTTTCTTTCTTAACAGAAGATGAAGCTGAGTGCCTAGGGCCTCCCTATCTCCCTCCGTTTTAAAGGTTTTTTTTTTTTTTTGCCATAGGGTGCATGCGCTTACCAGAGAGAGACAGAGAGACAGTGAGAGGAAAAATGAGAAATCACCTCCCAGAGGAGATGACCATGTTGCAATCCCTTCTCCATTCTCCTCTCAGGACTTTGGGCACACGTGCACATGTGCCCAGCATGATTTTCAAGCCTCCAAGTCCAGGACTCAAACTATGGTCAGTCATGTGGGAATCCAGAACCTTAAGCATCATGTACCTGCTGGCCCTGAGGCCCTAGACCTTTTTAAGGAAGTCCCTGTTTGGTTTCTTTAATACGACATGGAAGACTCATATGCATAATGTGAGCAACCAAGCAAACAAATACGAGTTCATATTTTATGATGGTTCTATTATGCAAAGTTCAAAACCAGGCAGAATGAATCCAAGATATTAGAAGTTGGGATAATGGTTGTGGTTCATTAAAAGTTTTATTAAATCCAGGGACCAGCAAGTGGCATAATGGCTAAGTCGCTGGACTCCCATGTAGTCGACTGTGGTTCAAGTCCCGGACCCGGTAGCTTAAACTAATGCCAGGCACGTGTGTGTGCATGCCCAAGATCCTGAGAGGAGAATGGAGGAGAAGGGATTGTGGCGTGGCCATCCCCCCTGGGGAGTGATTTCTCACTTTCTGTCTCTCTGTCTCTCTCTGTCTTTCTGGTGAGCACACGCACCCTATAGCAAAACCTCTCAAAAAAAAAATGTTTATTGGGAACCAGCAGTTAGCGTAATGGTTATGTTGCTGGACTCCCACGTAGTCGACCGCGGTTCGCGTCCTGGACCCGGTGGCTTAAAACTCACGCCGGGCGTGTGTGCGTGCATGCCCAAGATCCCGAGAGGATAATGGAGGAGAAGGGATTGCGGCGTGACCATCCCCCCTGGGGGGTGATTTCTCGCTTTCTGTCTCTATGTCTCTGTCTGTCTGACGAGCGCACACGCCCTATAGCGAAAACCTCTCAAAAAAAAATGTTTATTAAATCCATGATAACAGATGGTTTATAGGGTACAAAGTGCTTCTGCATATGTGTTATCTTCATTGTTTGCTCTTTTTGATACCAATAGTAATTGACTGAGGTGTTATTTACATAAGCAAAGTGCATAAATCTTAAGTGAGCAGCTCAATGAATTTTGCCACATGTGTACACCCAGGTAACCCATACCGAGATCGAATTACAGAACATTCCAGCACTCCTAAGATTTCCCTCGCCATGTCTCCTTTATTCTGCATGACCACCTCATGACAGGAGAGCGTCATCTGCCTTGTCACCTCGGAGGAACATCAGCCTGAAAGCTCAGGATGGTGATGCCCCAGAACCCTCATCTACAGCTGGCATCGTTAACTCAAGCGTCAACTTCCTGGAAAATGAGACTCTGTCCCCCTTTCCACAGAGCTGGGCAGAGAGCTGGGGAGGCGACTGGGAGGCATCTGCTAGTTATGTTTTAACTCCAGTTATTTTCCAGAACCTTCTCCCAGCCATCAGCATCCTGGACAATGCCCTGGAGTCTGAGGGTTGTCAGTGCCAGGTGAGTGGTGCTAGAAACTGCTCCTGGGGAGGGAGTGGCCACAACCAGTCAAACTGGGTGGGCAGGCGCCTGGGAGAAACAGGCAGTTGCAATCGTTAGTCCTGCTGCAAAGGAGCATGGTCTGGGACAGGCTCTTCCGGGAGGTCAGTGTGGGTGTACTCAGGTCTGATTCAGGCTGCCCTCAATCCCGGCCTGGGCCTGGGCGAGGTTTGAGGGCTGATCCTAAGGCAGTTTGGAGTAGATCAAGTAGGAATTTCTCCCTCCAGTCCAAAGCCCTTTCTCAAACAGGCTGTATTCCCAGGACACGGCCCCAGGGGTGTGGTCAGAGCTCCCACATGACCTCTTTTATTCAGAGGTGACCCAGTGGGCTCCTCTGAGGCCAGCAGGCCCTCACTCAAATTTCCCAAGAGCTCTTGGAAGTTTCTAGTGCCTCGTAAGGAGTTCTCATTCCCCAAGGGACTGGAACTCTCTCTCTTTCTCTTTTTTTGTTTTTTTTTTTTTTTTGAGAAGTTTTTGCTATAGGGCGCGTGCTCGCCAGAAAGACAGAGAGAGACAGAAAGACAGAAAGTGAGAAATCACCCCCCCAGAGGGGATGGTCACGCTGCAATCCCTTCTCCATTCTCCTCTCAGGATCTTGGGCATGCACGCACACGCCCGGCGTGAGTTTAAGCCACTGGGTCTGGGACTCGAACTGCAGTCGACTACATTATGCTAACTGCTGGTTCCTTGAACTCTTTGTTTTTGAAAGCCAGGCCTTGGGGCAGCGGCCCTTCTAGCACATTCTCACTAGATTCTAGAGAAGGAGGCTGAGGAGCCGACTCGTTCTATTTCTGAAGAGTAAAGAATCGGGAGTTCAAATGGGCTTATTTATTTATGGCTGAGATGACATGAGAAAAAAAAAATACTTAGGGGCTTAACGAGATTTAGCAAAGACTTGGGTAGCAGCCCATGAAGAAGCCATTCGTTTTTCTATGACATGAAAAAACCTCAATTCCGAAGCCACAAAGGAACTTGACACCCTCTGCTCATCTCCCAGCCTTGGAGTCCAATCCTAGGAAGGAGTAGGGAGGCCGGTGGTGGCCGAGAGGCAGGTGGTGGCTGTCTGAACAACTGGCTGTGCTCGCTGACTACGTCAGCCCCATTGTCTTGCGGGTTGATTTCTGCGATGATGTTCAGGTTCTTGGTGTTTTGGATAAAGAATTGCACAAGGGGACCAGCAGGTGGCGTGGTGTTTAAAATGCTGGATACTCCCACATGGCTGACAACAGTTCAAGTCCCTGACCTGGCGGCTTGCTTTCTCATTTTCCCTCTCTCTCTCACTGTGTGTGTGTGTGTGTGTGTGTGTGTCTGGTCAAATTAAAATAAAACGAACAGATACATAAAAATTAAAAAATAAAAATATATATTTTTTAAAAAGAATCAAACAAAACACATCGCTAGCTAAAGGAACAGGTAGTTTATTAAGTAAAAGCTTAAGTACACCTGCTGAGAGGTAGGAGTGGGCTGAGCGTGAGCGAGAAAGAGCGGCTCAAGGGCCTTGGAAGTTTTATATATATATTTCTTTCTTTCTTTCTCCCTTTCTTTCTTTCTTTCTTTCTTTCTTTCTTTCTTTCTTTCTTTTTTTCCCTAGAGATTTTTACTATAGGGTGCATGTGTTTAGCTGAGAGAAAGAGAGAGACAGAAAGTGAGAAATCACCACCCAGGGAGGATGGCCACATCACGATCTCTTCTCCTCCATTCTCCTCCCAGGATCTTGAGCACACACACGGGCGGGCCTGGTGTGAGTTTTAAGCCCCAGGGATCCGGGACTTGACCCGTGGTCAACCATATGAGAGTCCAGCGACATAACCATTACACCATCTGCTGGGCCCCCGGCAGTTATATTTTGTGAAGTTTATAATTCTTTAATCTATTGGGCTGTTGGAAAAGTCGTATTTTTTCTGTATTTCTATGCAAAAATGCAGCAACCCAATAGGTCATGTGGATTGATCATTGGCTGAGCCTACTGATTGCTCTCATCTCATTGGCTCTACCAAATGTGGCTGGGTCCGGGACTCGAACCGTAGTCGGCCATGTGGGAGTCCAACACCCTTAACCACCAAGCCACCTGCCGGCCCCCGGTGGGGAATTTTCTGCCCTGATCAGTTTTCTATTTAGCTACAGAGGCAGCCATTCCAGCCCCCTTACTAACTTCCGATTGCTAGTGTTCTCCTGCTTCAACCTCAAGGGTTTGCTGTTCTTCACATAGTAGGAGAAGAACAAGACCCAAAGTCCCCTGTATGGCAGTCACCCCCTTCCTGCTCCCACTGACATCAGGGTAGGTACACACGGTCCTCCCTGGGACTTGCTGACAAGCCCAGAGACAAAGAAAAACCAAGTCTCTGCTTTGACCTACCCCAAAAGGAGTCTGGGGGCCCGGTGAGGGGGTGGTGGAGGGCAAAGGAACAAGCTTCTCAGTTTTCACAGGCCAATGAGACAGAGCGTGCAGAGGACTGGATTTCACTCGGTTCAACCAAAACAAAACCAAACCCTCCTCCTGTTCCCCGGAACTGAGCTTCTGAGTAACAACTGTTCGTCTCTGCCCACACAAATAGCTTATTTTCGATTTGCAACCAGGTCCTGGATGCTGGGCTTTGAGAGGAATTCGAATCCTTTGATATTAGCACAGGTCCTTGCGATGTTGTAAAAGGGGGTGGGGTGGGGTGGGAAACTATAACCGTCTCTAGACGGGAAGTTATTTAGGCAACAAAAAGAAAAAAAAGAAAAAAGATGAAGCTTTGCTGTGAGCACAAACGTAGCCACGCCTCAAGGCCTGCAAGAGAGATAGGGAACGGGACAGAAAAGTCACACGCTGCCGCCCAGCCTGGGTGAGGTCTGGGTGAAATGGAAACTTCCTGTTTATTTTAGTCCCCAGCAGCCCTGGGGGCAGGGAGGGAGTAGAGATTGAAGCCAGAGCTGTTGCTCTCGAAAAGAATCATCAAAACTGCTGGATCCGTCCAGAAAGTGGTGGCTTTGACGGTAAGACGCGGATAATACGCAGAAACTCATCCGAGTTGCCCACAACTCGCACCGGATGCTGCTAACTGATGCGGCTCTTGAACCTCACAGTATCCTCCCGGGGGTGGGGATGAGAGCCACTACAATCCTCATTATCATTTTCTTTTTCTTGCAGATCAGAGCCATGCTGTGCAGGCTAAAGGATGTGAACTCTGTCAAACAGCAGCTCAAAGGCTGAGTCAGACGTGGCTGAGTCTCAAGCCTTCCTCACCCCAGCTACTTCCTTGTCAATATCTCTAATCGCTCTGCATCTTGGGCCTTCCTTGAGATTAGCACCTGAACTGCCACCATTAATCCCTCCTATAACCCCTTTCCACCAGCACTACCCTGGGGGATCTGAACTGAACTGAACCAGTCCCGGACCATGCAACACCTCCGAGCAGTTCCAGGTCATTCTCAGGATGGTAGACAAATAGGGCCTCCAAGCTCCGCCCAGGGATGCTCAAACTGGGACATGGCTGTGCAGCCACATATGCCAAGGATGCAGGGGACCTGGAACCCTCCTTCGTTGCTGGAGAGATTGGTAAATGTCTCAGCCACTTTGGAAAAGAGTTCGGTGTTTTTCAAAATGTTAAACATGGGGCCAGCAGCTGGTGCGGAGGTTAAGGTAGCTGGATCCCAGCCAGCTGACTGCACAGGCTCGAGTCCTAGATTCAGTGGCTTGAAAAACATGCTTGGGGCCGGCCAGTGGCATGGTGGTAAAAGGCGCTGGACTCCCACATGGCCGACCACGGTTCAAGTCTCGGATCTGGTGGCTTGCTTTCTCACTTCCTCTCTCTCTCTCTGTGTCTCTCTGATCAAACTGGAAAATAATAATGATAAATAAAGTTAAATAAAATAATTCTTTAAAAAAAAAAAAGAAAAGAAAAACATGCTAGGGGACCAGCAGATGGCATAATGCTTTTGTCTCTGGACTCCCACGTAGTCGACTGCGGTTCTAGTCCTGGACCCAGAGACTTGAAACTCATGCTGGGTGTGTGTGCGTGCGTGCCCAAAATCCAGAGAGGAGAATAAAGGAGAAGGGGTTGCGGCGTGGCCACACCCCGCCCCGGGGAGGGGGGTGTTTTTTCTTTCTGTCTCTCTGGTGGATGCATGCGCACCCTATAGCAAAAATCTCTCTCTCTCTCTCTTTTTTTTTTTTTAAATGCCAGGTGCATTTCTGAAATATCCCAAAATCCCAAGAGGGGAATGGAGGAGAAGAGATTGTGGTGCAGTCATTCCCCCTGGGAGGGACTTCTCACTGTCTCTTTCTCTTTCCAGTAAACAGAAAGTTCAGCAGAGAGGACATTGTGGGTCTAGGTGCTCTGGAAGGGGTGGGGAAGCCCAGCTGAGCCTTGGAGAATGGGCAGATTTCTACATGCAGGAGGGGTACCTTTCAGGCAGGAGCACAGGCCTGGCAGAGCATCAGAGGTAGCAGTGACTATGGCGTGTGCCCGGAATGGATTGGAGGCTGCTCATAGCCACCGGGAAGGTGAAATTGGAGTGTGAGGTTTGGAGGGGTGGGCTGGGCTTCTCTATATGAACCAGGATGCAGTATGGTGGGGAATGTGGAGCCCAAGGCCATTGCAACAGCATGAGGAAAGTAGAGTTTGATAAGGAGTCGCCTGGCATATGTGTAACCGTGTAGCCTCAGCAAGGACTGGCGGGGGAAGGGCGGGGGAGAAGCTGGGGCAGAAATCAAGGAATGCGGTGATGAGAGTCCAGGCCTAGGGCTTGAGGGGGCGAACGGGAGAGGAAAGATCCCAATTACAGCATAGAGAGGGAATCTGGTGCAAAACTGGCTTATTGCTAATGAAGCAAAGGGGGACCACAGTTGGTGTGGAGGCTAAGGTGGCTGCGTCCCACATGGCAGATTTCACTGTTTGAGTCAGGGACCTGGTGGCTTGAAAATCACTCGAGACACGCGCGTGCGTGTGCGTGTGTGTGTGCACGCGCGTGTGCGTGCCCAAGATCCCGAGAGGAGAATGGAGGAGAAGGGATTGCGGCGTGGCCATCCCCCCTGGGGGTGATTTCTCGCTTTCCCGCTTTCCTTCTGTCTGTGGCGGGTGCACATGCCCTATAGCAAACTAAACGGGGGAAAAAAAGAAAGAAGGAAAGAAAATGAAGCAAAGGGAAAAATCAGAGAGGAACCCACATGGTTATGGACATGGAAGGAAAAAACATGCCTGCTTCCTTGTAAGGCCAGGACCTGGTTCCAATTTCAGTCCTACCCCTATTGGCCATGGGACATGGGGCAATCGGCTGTCCTCTCTGTGCTTTGCTATTATTTGTTAAAAGAATTGTTTTATTTATCTTTATTTGTTTGTTTATTTATTTTTATTTGACCAGAGAGGGACAGAGTGAGAGAAAGAGAGAAAGTGAGAAAGCATACTGCCAGGTCTGGGACTCGAGTCTGCCATGTGGGAGTCCAACATCCTTAACCACCACGCCACCTGCCGGCCCTGTGCTTTAATCTTCCCAACTGTAAAATTCAAATAACAGTAGTAACTATCCCCTACGTTGTCCTGACTGACTCCTAACTGAGAGGATCCATTTGGAACTAAAATGTTGAAAGATATGAATATACTTTTCTGGCTTGTATTTCTGTATAGATGACCTTCTCCCTGGGCAGACCATAGTCATCTGCTTAAGAGTGAGGAAAACTTGGGACCAGCAGTTAGCATAATGGCTATGTCGCTGAACTCCCATGTAGTCGACCGCAGTTTGCGTCCCGGACCCGGTGGCTTAAAACTCACGCCGGGTGCGTGTGCGTGCGTGCCCAAGATCCTGAGAGGAGAATGGAGGAGAAGGGATTGAGGCATGGCCATCCCCCCTGGGGGTGATTTCTTGCTTTCTATCTTTCTGTCTCTCTCTGTCTTTCTGGCAAACGCACGTGCCCTATAGCAAAAACCTCTCCAAAAAAAAAAAAAAGAGCGAGGAAGACTTGTCCAAACTTCTTAAGCAAATTAAAAAACCAATCCTGGGTCCAGCCTCAGTGGCCCAGTCCACAGTGCATCCGGCTGCTGTGCTGGAAGCCACATTGCCGACCATGGGTTCAGATCCTCAGCTGACCTGAAACATACTAAGCGCACACACCTAAGATTCTAACTAGCTGGAAGACTGGGGGAAGAACACTGCTATGTGATAAGACCTTGCAGAAAGGGCCTGTGTCTTTTTCTCATGAAAGAATGAAAAGAAATATTTTCTTTTAAATATTTTTTTATTTAACCTTATTTATTTGTTTTAATTTGAGCAGAGAGAGACAGAGTGAGAGAGAGAGAGAGGGAAAGTGAGAAGGCAAGCCACCAGGTCTGGGACTTGAACCACAGTCGGCCACGTGGGAGTCTAGCGCCCTTAACCACCATGTCATCTGCTGTCCCCGAAAAGAAATCTTATAAAAGAAAATAAAATAGAAAAGCAAAAATCAGTTCTGGAGGACTCAGGTCACAACATCTCTTCCACAGCAGAGAGGAGACACCCCCTCCGCCATCATTAAGGCCACGAGGCTTTTTGCCATGAGGCTATGACTTGGAGGAAGTGAAAGCCTCTGGTTCCCAGGAACTGTGGGCAGAAGCACAGAGGCCAGGAGAGGCGTGGCAGTGGGTCCCAAGGTCTTTTTTCTGGGCTCATGGCCAGAGAAAGGGTGGAAAGTTGGGCAGGTTGAAAGGGAAAGCAGAAGCTAGAGATCTTTGTCCGGATTCCCATTTGGGGCCTGAAGGGAGAACTGCATCTCACACTGCCCCTCCAGACCCTACACATCTGGGGGCCACGTGAATATCTTGGGGTTGCAGGGTAGTGAGCTTGAGGTGGGCAGAGGCGGAGCCATCCAGAGTTGCCCTCTGGTGCTGTGTGGCCTGGACAGAAAGTTCTGTTCTGGGGACCAGCAGTTAGTGTAATGGCTATGTCACTGGACTCCCACGTAGTCGACCGCGGTTCGAGTCCCAGACCTGGTGGCTTAAAACTCACGCCGGGCGCATGTGCGTGTATGCCCAAGATCCCGAGAGGAGAACGGTGGAGAAGGGATTGTGGCGTGGTCATCCCCCCTGGGGCGTGATTTCTCGCTTTCTGTCTCTCTGTCTCTCTCTGTCTGGTGAGCGCACGCTCCCTATAGCAAAAACCTCTCCAAAAAAAGAAAAAAAAATTTTTTTTTAATTAAAAAAAATAAGAAAGTTCCGTACTGGCTGGATTTAGGTAAAGAAGGAGGAACCAGGCTACAGGTAGATATTAAAGAGTCAGCATTGATGAAACCCCTAGAAAATTCTGTCTTGGGAACTACAGACAGAGTGGTCCAAAGGTGAACCGCAGTTTGAGGTTTTTTGTTTTGTTTTGTTTTGTTTTGCTATAGGGCGCGTGTACTCGCTAGACAGACAGAGAGAGACAGACAGAAAGTGAGAAATCACCCCCCAGGGGGGATGGTCACGCCGCAATCCCTTCTCCTCCATTCTCCTCTCGGGATCTTGGGCATGCATGCACACGCGCCCGGCGTGAGTTTTAAGCCACCGGGTCCAGGACTTGAACCACAGTCGACTATGTGGGAGTCCAGAGACATAGCCATTACGCTAACTGCTGGTCCCTGAGATCTTGAAAAAGGATCCTTGGAGCCAAGCTTGATGAGCTCACTGATGAGCAGAGTGAGGAGGAGCCATAATTAGGGCAGGTGAGGACAGAAGCTTGGGTGCTCCCCAACCAAGGAGAGGACCCCAACGAGGAGGTCCTTAAGGGACCAGAAATGTAGCAGGGAAACTGGAAGAGTGCTGGTGTCCAGAGAAGTCCAGGAAGGAAAGAGCTTCAAGAGCGTTCAATTCTGCAAGAGCTAGGTGAATCCCTGTGGGAATGGTTGTATTTCTCCACTGCCTCTGAGCCCTGAGCTCCCCTTACAGCAGGGTGGGCAAGCCGAATGCCCCAGGCCATCAGCATACTTTTTTCTGCAAGCTCCAGAGCAGTTTTGTTGGCTTCCAGACTGACAGCCAAGCAGATCCCCATTCTGGGGGCCAACCAGGCCCTTACTGGTAGGGTCCCTGCCGAAGTCATGTCTGAAGTAGGTAGAACAGGTGAGTCTGCCCTTCAGTAGCCCAAGAGAGCTCTCCCTGTCAGCAGGGAGCCCTTCCACTTCCGTGCCAACCCTGGGCGGAGTGGCCCAACCCAGGTGCCAGCGTGACAGAGGCTATGGGAGTGCTCAGATGGGCACACCTCCTGGCCCAAGAGCACTGGGCAGGTCACTTGCGTGGCTAGGCCTGCCCAATCCAGCTCCGTGAACAGGACCAGGAGGGCATGTCAGGCAATTAAGCGAGGCTGCCAGAGGCTGTGCACACGCCCAGTTTCCACACGACTTGCTGCTTACTTGTTCATCCTGCCTGGGGTAATTGGTTGTTACTTTCAATAGCATTTAGGCTTAAAAAGGAAACTAAACAGAAATAGCTCCTCCTATTTGGATTTAGAGAGCAGTTTGTGGATGAACTGGGAACAGCCCCTGGTTGAGCGGGGGATACTGAGCAAGTTGCTTTCGGAGGCTCTTAGATGCCTACCAGCACTGTGGAAACAACA